GTAATTGTGTTATAATTATTTCTCGAAAATTTTGATTTTTTCTTATTTGGATGTGTGTTTGTTTGGTAAATATGATACAAAACTGCAGTAAGTTTTATGCTAATGGTTACTTGGGAATGAAATTATGTATACTGAAAGACATAATTTCTCAAAATCATTATATTTGGACCTCAGAGTTCGTTACCGCCGAAAAAAACAAATTCTACTCAGCACTTGGAGGCATGCGTGCGTTATAAGAGGGACGGTCAAATGCCACTATTCAATTAGAATAGCCCAAGAGTTGGCGATGGGTGGTGTTGGCTAGCTGACTTCCTTATAGTCTATCATTTCAAAATTAGGGACGAATAGCGTAGATAGCCCTCGAGTAACAAAATCATGACTCGTCCAACAGTACAAAGACTGATGAACACAGTATCTTAACTATATCTACAAAAGTTAGTCACGCATATCCACGTATTGAAACATTATATCAAATAACATCTTCAGTTCAATTAGTGAAAGTCGAAATACCGCTTAGGATACACTCCTGAAAATATTATTTTATAAGTGTTTTTCTAATGAATCAAGAAAAGATGCCCTTTTGTCTGTCCTGATTAACTCAAGTTTGTGGAAAATGTTGTAAGACCAGTTGTAACAGTTACAAAATCCGGGCGGTTGATCATTTCCTTGATATCCTGATGTCGAGGATATCCAAGATATGTACACATTTAGATAATTTTGTTCGAGTTATACTAGAAAATATTATAAAACATTATTCCAAGTAATTAAATTATATGTGTTTTTTGAAAATAAATGATAGGGGATATTTTATGTGGGTGTACGATGTTCATTCCAGTAATTTATAAACACAATTACCAGCAGGAAAATAAGTTAATCGAGGAAAAACCGCACGCGCTTTTCAGGATGGTCTTTGTATTTATCATCACGTGTACAACATTGACTGAGTCATGAAATTCCTAAGAAACTACAACGCGTTATGTCGATTGCTAAAAGAAACATTTCCTAGTTTTTGTAACGATATTAAAATTGATAAATTAAGAACAACAAAACGCCATGATTTGTGCTGCGTAATTATTTTTTTATTATCGGAATGTTATAGATATCACAGATTCTTGGAATAGGATATTAATAAGGTATGTTGTTTGTTTGTTTGTTTGAAATTAAGCACAAAGCTACACAATGGGCTATCTGTGCTCTGCCCTCCACGTGTATCGAAACCCGGATTCTAGTGTTGTAAGTCCGCAGACATACCACTGTACCACTGTGGGGCAAGGTATGTTGTATAATGAGATTTGTACTTTGTCATGAAATCCAGAGTTATTGTAACTTAACCTAAACTAGGTAGATTAACAGAAATAATAATAATAATTATATTAAAACACGTTGTATCAAGAACTTATTGTTTAATTACAAATGATATTAAAAAGTTACTGTACAAGAGTTTGATTTTTAATTGCGAGATACTGATTTGTGTTATTTTGGTTCTGTACATGAAAAATAACACAGATTGTATATGACATAACTTTCATAAAAATGTGTTATTAAGTTGACTTACACATGTTTTATTGTGTTAAGTTTACATCTGATGCTGCAACAGTTGATAAATACAAATTAATTTGAACTTAATTAGAAAAGAAAATTAATACAATAAATTGACTGCGCGTCCACGGAGTGGTTAAACTCGAAGGGTTTGTTTGTAGTTAAGCACAAAGCTACACAAAGAGCTATTTGTACTTTTCCTAACACGAGTATCGAAACCCAGTTTCTAGCGTTTCAAGTCCGTAGATATGCCGCTGTGTCACGGGGGATGGGACAAAGTAGAAGGGTTTTTAAGGCATTGTTCAGAATATTTTTGCACAACACGATGATTAATAGAGAGTAGAAAGAATCTAATTTTTTTGGAAATTCTGCCGTAGGTTTAAGCCCTATTATTCATCGATCAAGTGTGGCCTACTTGTTAGTGTGCTCAGACTGTGAATCCCAGGGTTCACGGTTCGTGTCCCGTTGCTGCAAAAACGCGTCCGATTTTGAACCCGTGGATGCGCTACCCACTATTCGTTCAGTAACCTGAAAGTGAGTGCTGTTGACTAGCTGGTTTCCCTCTAGTTTATTAGTTCAAAATTAGTTATTGCTATGCGCAGATAGCCCTTATGTAGCTATGCACCGAAATACTAAGCACAAATAAATTGAACCATTATTAATTTTTTCACGTATACATACTATAGAACAGTTTCATGAATCAGTTTTAGTTAGGCAAAGGAATGAGGTCTATGCAGTTATAAGTTTTCTGTTTCTGAGTGTGTCAACAAAGAAACATACACAAACAGACATATGTATAAGTACGTCTGAAGAATACGTTTATTCGTAGAAGAGTATATGTGGAACTTCATGTAATACCAATTAACAGCTATGTTTCTCGTACATGAATGTGAAAACAGGATGTTATCAATTGAGGCCTATTTCTAATGTATATAAACCAAGGGTTAAAAGACAAGTTTAGTTCTTAGAAACAGGTCGAACTTTAATCTTAACCTTTTCTTTTTGAGTCGTCAGGTTTACTTTTACAAACAGTAATAATACAGTAAGTTATAATTTAGCGTAATAGAAAAGGGGGGACAGTATGTTTGTACACAAAAATTAAAACACCAACACATTCGGAGAATTTTTCAGAAGTGGGAACATAGAATGTCAAAGAGTTTCGATATTTTCATAAACTTCTAATTCACAGAATGGTTAAAAAGAATATCATTTTATCTAAAACATGTCATATACCATAGAAAGTTGAGGATAATGTTCACATGGCTACTGTATAAGTAGTATTTAAATATAGTAGAGTCCATATATATAAATTCATAACTTAGAATATATTAAAGAATATCTAATTATCACCAGAATAGTTAATAATGTATATTATCATGTTACTTAAATAATAATTTTGAGTTTAACGCTAGTATACAACCATAGTAAGATAATTTAAGAATAATTGTATTCTATTGTAGCACTGTTCAATACTCCGGTAATGCTATACCAATATTGTAGAAATGGACTACTGGATAGTATGCGAAGGTAACGTTGCGTCGGGTGAGAATGTATTTCGGATCATGCCTTATTTTGACGTTAACCTTGTAATGCATATCACAAAAAACAAAACTTGTTAAGCACAAAGCTACTCAATAGGCTAACTGTGCCATGCTCACCGCGAGTATCGAAACCTGATAAGAAGACTTACCATTGAGCCAGTAGAGGACACTTATAAACATGCTACCCGAGTTCCAAAGCAAAATTTAAAATAATACGTAGAAAATTAACGAATTGAAGAATTTAGCTACATGCAAGATGTTTGTTTGTTTTTTTTTTTTTAACTTTGTCGCAAAGTTACACAAGGGCTATCTGTGCTAGCCGTCCTTAATTTAGCAGTTAAAGACTAGAGAGAAGGCAGCTAGTCATCACCACCCACCGCCAGCTCTTGGACTACTCTTTTAACAACGAATAGTGGGATTGTTGGTCACATTATAACGCCCCCACCACTGAAAGGGCGAGCATGTTTGATGGGACGGGAATTCGAACCCGCGACCCTCAGACTGCTAGTCAAGCTCCCTAACCACCTGGCCATGCTAGGTCTACATGCAAGATATTTTCCAGTTGATACTCAGTAAACAAGTGAACTGCCTGGGGTGTTACAATTTCTGTTTTGTGTTTGCATATGGAATGATCTGAATGCATAGTTTCATTTTTAGTCTGAAAGTACAAATTATCGACAAGTTACCACATTGTAATTTTTTTTCCTTCCGTTTTATTGTAATTTTCTTCTGAGTAAAACTTAATGACACGTCACACATATTTGTAGAGTTATGTTTAAAAAATGAATATTAAATACAAAGCTCCAGGCTAAAACTTAACCCAAAACCAAAAGAAAAAAGATAAAAAAGCGTTATTGCGTTAAATACTTATATTTCTACTACATAATTTCCAGATCACGGGATGTTGTGAAGGCTTATGAACCTATATTGCACTTTATTGTCCTCTTGATGTCCTCTTGACCTTGTCATGCGCCCTTTTATTCTATGCTGTGTATAATTGCATCCATTGTTTACTGCCAAAGAAACTGAAAACAACTAACAATATTGTGTCATGGCTTGTCTGAGGACAAACATACTGCTGATTTCAATTATTTGTGGACTTTAAATAAATTTTTTTGTGTGTATGATGTTTAAGTTTTTTAAACAATGTATCTTATTTCCTTGACATGTTCTGTTTTTATACAAGTGTTTACATTTTTATGGAATAAAGCCTTCATTAACTTTACAAACCGTCATTCAAATTTTCATTGTTTAGAATAGCCTAACCCAGAAACTAACTCGTTCAAGGTTTGGTACAGTGTGTCTTAAAGTTAAGTAGTATAATTTTCTCTCGGTAGAGGAAAAGTTACATTCCTCAGCCTCGGTACAGCGGAACGACTACAAATTTTGACGGAACTCCTGATCACTTCTTTGAAGATTGTATAAAACCGGAAATACGCACGCTGTCCTGGAGCTAAAATGGTATTTTCACACATGAATGATCAGCAGAAGAATCACTGTACTTCATGGTAATATTAATATATAAACGATGCTACAAGAAAGAGATCTGAGTCACACTAGCCTATTTTGTTTGAATAAGAAAATAAATCTTCAACATAGAAAGTCAGTGAGTCAGCAGTTTCATTAAGGAGGTTCATAAATATAACCTGTGTTACTTCTGGAAAAACAAAACAAAAACCATACCATCCAAGACCTTTACAAAGTCTAAATTCTTCAATGTAAAGGGCATAACATATACTATTGCTAAACAATTTGTTAGCCTACAGGAAAATGTCATTTCAAGATCTGGAGCTATGAATAATTAAATGTTATTATCATCGTTACTTAAAATGGATTAGTTGACTTTTTATTAGGCATCTTGCACCTTGAAAAGAGATTCAAATATAAAAACAAATGGAGCAGGTTTTAATAAGAAAAATATTGGTATTTAGCATGCTTATCAGCGAAATCTAAGTAAAATACTGTTAAACATATTTATTCGTTTCAGCTAAAACAATTTAGTTTTAACAGGAATATACAATAAACTGAATAACATCATCGACAACTGAAATTATAAGAAATACTATAATACTAAAGTGTACAAAAAATATAACTATTACTTATGATATTAACTTAGCGGTAAGCATGATAGGTTATAACGCTGAAATTGGGAAATCGATACCTGCGTTGGGCAAAGCATATATATCGTCCATTGTGCAGCTATGTGCTTAACAACAAAATAAATAACTTTGATAGTAGTATTCTCAAACCATCTAAAGTTCAGACACACATCATTTTAAATATTTGTACCTTGATGACATGAGCAGTTAACCACAAATATGAGACGATCACGGGTAGTTTTTATTTGAAACCTAAATGGCTTTTTACCTAATGATATTTAAAATCTGATAACACGAAACAAGAAAAATATATTATAAGGTGCTATAATTGTTGTACTGAAAGATTTAGAACTGGCAATCTCGTGTGTTTTCATATCGAATTTTATATTAAAATTAGCAGGGTATAAAGAAACATAGTACAACTGTTTAGCTCAAATAACAAACGAACGCAGCCGCAGCGTGATGAAATATGTTAATCACTAACTCTTCCCTTGCAGTGATTTTAACCTTTTTTATTTTTTAACTGTATAGATCCTATAATTTATCCTTAGGAAAACTAGTGTCTTTAATTTATATTTTTTTAAACGCTGTGTGTGAATTATTTGTAAATAATGAAGTGAATTAAAATAATTTGTCATGTTGATTAACCCATGACAACCAACAACTTTTACTGAAGACCTAATTTACGACACATTCTGCATATCGCGCCATCTACTGCCAACAATATTCACTGG